TTTGGAGCAGTTTTTGGAAGTGGACATTTTTTGTCCCGAATGACTAATAATGTAAGCTTTTTGTTCAATCTGATTTTGCTGCCAAAAACTAGAATATTGCCAAAAAAAAATCAATTTTGCTGCTAATCTTTGACATATCCAATACTGTTATAAAAAAGAGCCAGCTCACCAGAGTAGCTATTTTTTGGAAAATAACTAATTTTCTCTGTTTCACCATGAAAAAAAAAAAGGATTCAAAATGGCATTTAAGGGTTTAAAATCCTGAAAATGATTACATTTTTGATATTTTCGATTAGGGTGTGCGAAGTTGCTCTTCAAAGATTTGAAACCCAAAAAAGTTGGGGTTGAAAAAAATCTTTTAATATAATGTTTTTATCAAAGTTATTAGCAGTGGACATTTTTGTCTCGAATGAGCTGATTTTGCCGTAGTCGATTTGTTACACGTGATTAAGACCGATTTGAAAAATGAAATTGGAATTCCAAAAATAGATCGAGAAAATAGCCTTCTTACAAAAAATCAGGCCATTTGCCCATTTTGCTTAAATGGTGACGAACCGTTTGAGACCCACTGAGACAACTTAGACTAAGTTAACTATCTAATATACTCAGAGTCCTTTCCTGCTCACTGCTGCCCTTTCTCAGCTCTGACATGGAGAGGCTTCTCCTCCACCCTGGTTGGGCAAACAGCCTTCTTATATCCGCTTAGCCGCCCCAGCAGAAGCTAAACAACATTTCCCGCGGTTACCGGTGTACCTCTCTCTATCTTATCTCTCTCTCTCTCACGCTGGCTTGGAGCCTGCGAGCGCAGACCTGATAAGCCAACGATCCCCACTTTCATCACTTACAGCCGCCCATCGTAAGGCGGCAAATGCGAAAATGTAACCGGGGTGAAAAGGGTGTTATCTTTAACTTAATTATGAATGTTGTTACATCAAGATGGAAAATTCATTTTTTTTTAAATGTAATTTGTGGAAGTGCAGAGTCCCATGCTCCTCCACCAGGGCGGTGCTGCAGCCACCCCTCAGCACCCCTTACTTCCCACGCGCCTGAGTTAGCACCAGATGGCTAACAACGAATACACGTAACCGGTTGCGCGCGCTTTCTCGCTTGCTCGCCGCCACACATACACTTACACAAACCTCACCACGAGGCTGAATGACACAGAGCACCATCGAGGGCATTAGCGTATCGATCTGTATGAAAGTGGCCATGTCGGCAGGGCCACATCATGTAGACAGCCAGTCAACCTCTGTGAGGCAGAGTCAGACGCGACATTTGCGGCAGCGTTGCGTTCACAATACATACGATATAAGTACCAGGCATTTTAACGTAAGAAGTGCCCGGTACCCACATGGGTAAAATTAGAAGTGCCGGTACTGCCGTACCGGTGAGTACCGGGCTTCCCAATCAAAGCACTGCAGACGGAGCGACAGGAAAATTTTTTTTGTTCCCTCCTGGAAGGCCAGCAGGTACTAACTGATGTGGACAACATTGCATTAGCTGCTACCATGCTGGACTAATGTATGCAATAAACCTGAACTACCCCCCTAAACTGAAGTGCACGTTCGAAGTGCTCCAGCAAATGTGAATGGAGCTAGACAGCAACATGCTCTCCAAGAAAGCCCAAGCGTTTAAAAACAAACTATTTGAGTGAGCTGTTGCCATGGACCATTGTGCACTTTTATAGCATTCATACTGGACTTTCATCGATACAACTGTCTTGCACTTCCTTTGCTCATGCTTTTTGCTTGATTTGCATGTTTCAGAAATGTGGGTTTTTCCTGGGGTCATGTGTTTTCAGAATGTACCCCTTGTCATGTGTTTCAGAATGTACTAATTGCACTAATTGTACTAATGTACTAACTTCAAAATGTCAGTTCTTGTTTTTATTTGTAATACTTTCTTTAGTGCATATGTGGTGAGAAACCAGGCCATTATTATACTTCCATGTATTTTTCCAAAGCAATGCCATTGCTTTTTTTGCATTAAAGTGCCCTTTCATATTAGCAGGTTACTATTTAAATAATGGATTTGCAAGAACATTTCCATTTTCTGTTAATTCTTTACTATGAATGAGTTACAAAAATAAGCCTTTCTTTGCCATTTGGCACAATAAACCTTTATTTTGGTCGGGAGAATAGTTTCCTTTAAGCTTCCTTGCTATGTTCTAACACAATAATGTATATGTACATGATAGAGAGTGCTGGACATTTTTTTGGGCGGAGAGGGCCTTTTATCAGTCATTAAAGTATTAAAGTTGAAAAGCAATGATTACAAGTTTAACTCTTCCAGGCATTGAACCAGCTGCGCAGAGGACATCACCGCATCCTGGCTGCCGGCTCTATCCACTGGGCTATCTATTCCTTAGACAATTGAAGTGTTTTTATATTACTCATTGTCTTTTTGTTCACAACTTCTCCACATTTCGAAGTGTTCCCCGAGCCAGAACAACCTATTTTTCTTCCTGGCGTGCTCTATAATGATCCAATTCAAATGCAATACCAACAACAGCTCAACAGCAACAACGCAAACCACGACAACAACCCACACATTGCGCATTGTTTAGAGCGGTTATAAAGTGTTGAAGCGCTCAAATTTGAAACTGTTTCAACCTGTCACCTGTCAGAATAGAGACGAGGCAGTGCATTGAATCGCGTAATTGGACCGCGAACCAGTGAGTTGATTCATTCAGGAAATGAAGCAGTTGCTGGTTCGGACGTCATATATCACGTGATTTGAAGCAAGCTTCGAAGCACTGCTTCTATGGAATAGGAAGTCCAGGGTTGAAGCTCCGTTCGAAGCTTCAATGTCAAACTGCCATCACGAGAAACAATATATTTTACCTCCTTTAAGTTTCATATCAATGATCATGACCAAATATTTGTACTTTTATATAGGTACCTGTCATTTTTCTGCGTTGTAATGTAAATAGAATTAACCATTAGTCGAATTACAAAGCCTTGTGTTTTATCATGCCTGATATTTTCTGGTCCTTTCTTTTCTACCCTTCTTCACCACAGAGCAAGTATGACTTCACTTCCTGTCAGGGCGTGCTGTTTGTGTGCCTGATCGTGCTGTTGCTCTTCTCCATCCTCTGCATCTTCATCCGCCACAGGATCCTGGACATCGTCTATTCCTCACTGGGGGCCCTGCTCTTCACCTGCGTACGTTTCACATTCTCTTTGTCCTTTAAAAACAATCCCTTTCCACATTTCACGGTTGCTTGTATTTACTTTTTGATGCTATGCTGAACATTTCTGATCATTTCGTGCAACAGTAAGGAATCATTTGAATGTCATTACAGTTCATATTATCAAAGGTCATTCTCAAGTTGGGTCATTTGATATCTGTGAGGTAATGCATCCGGTCGTCTAGATTCAGTTACCAGACAGTCGTCAGCATTGGCTTCCAGACGGTTTTCCTCCTACTAGTGAACTGTATTCTGCTCTTTAAGGTATACTTGCATCTCCAGAATGACTAAGAATAAAAGCTCAATCGGAGTTGGAAAAAGATTCATGCTTAGAAGGAGGAAAGTGGGAAGCTAACTTGTTATTAAAATCTAAATATATGACCTAAACTCGTCCAAAGCAGCTTTTAAAACACTGAACATATGGAGGCTAAAAGATGTCTTTTGTCGAAGGGAAGAGGAAGAAGATGTGATAGGATGCATTTGATGATGTCAAGCAGAAAAAATGGCTACATTGAACTTTAATATACTACAGTATAGACATTGAGAAGTTAGGAAAAGCCAGTACAACATGAAAGAATGGGACAATACTATCTAGTGTTGCTCAGAGCCAAAATAGACATTCAGACCAAAAGCAGCCCTTCATAGTGAGCGTGTTGCCTTAAGTTGGTCCAGTAAGACCTTAGATCCATGAGCTCGAAGGTTAGACTGGCGCCAAAATACTGGAAGTGGTTTATAAAATGTTGAGGTTGTATTGAGGTTGAGCCCTCGGGATGGATGCTAATGAAACTGAGATTGCAGTTTAATGTATACGTTTGCTAATGGTAAAAGTAAATTGTTGGCGATGTGTACTGGTCCATTTGCACCCCCGCTGTATCAATATTTCTTTAAAGAGCTGTTGTCTGTGTTAAGTGTCGGAATCAATTCAGATATGTATCGCCAAGTTATCTTGAATAATAATTGAAATGTATATATTTATTTTAGAATTATAGTGTATTATGGCATTTTAGTTTATTACGGTTGTATTTGTTACTTCTGAAACGACAGCTGATACATTTTTACGCCATTAATGTTATATCCACAGTGTAGAAATCTCATGAAACCACTAACGCCTTGTTTCTTCTCTGTAGTTTTTGGCTGTGGACACTCAGCTCCTCCTGGGCAACAAGAAGCTATCTCTGAGTCCAGAGGAATACGTTTTTGCCGCACTCAACCTCTACACTGACATCATCAACATCTTCCTCTACATCCTGGCTATTGTGGGACGTTCCCGTGAATGAAATAATGAAATGAAATAGCTCTTTAAACTTTTGTTTCACTTTGTCCCATAACACACTTCCTCCTCCTATCACACCCACAGCTTTTTAAAAGGTGTTGCAATTAATGTGAAAATTATCTTTCTTTTTGACCACTTGTTGCTGTAACTCTCCTCTGCTTCTACTAACACTGGTAGCTAAATAATGGCTATATTACCTTTACCCATACTTTCAGTGTGACTCAGCTCCTACAGTGTAACACATGTTATCCCGTGGATGCATGGCACTCGGCCTTGCCTTGCTTAGAGATTAAACAGAGGAAGAGCGGGGATGGAATCTGTAGCGCCTAATATTGATGCAAACCAGCTTTACTTGAAAACAAATTAGGGCTAGAAATACCCATTTTTCAATCCATCTGATTCCCCAAACAGATCTCTCCCTTTGAGCCCGCTGATGTTAATTAACTCTGCATGGCAACACTGGAAACAAAACGAAAGGTGTGATATGTTTCTTTAGAGCTAACAGAGGAATGTCTCGGAATTGCTTGTCACAGCTGTAAATAGTTAAATGTATTAGTGTATGTGAAGCCAGTACCCCGCCCCCCTTTACCCCCTGCCCCCAAATGGCATGCTGAAGTGATTCCTTTGGATTTGTTGCTTTTCAGGAAATAATTGCTCTGATATCNACGCCCGTTCTAAGACGTGTCCCTCACTCCTCACATCCCAAGCTGCATCCCCAAAAAGTGTATTATGTTGTTACATCGTTTCAGATGTTATGTTTCAGTTGTGCTCTTGATACGCCATTAAAACAGTAAAAACACGTTCAGTTTCCTTTTGCTTTTTGTGTCTCCTGTACACCAAAACATACCCATCTGTGATGGAAAAAGAAAGTAATCCAAAAGTAATCTAAAAGTAATCTGATTACGTTTATTTTAAGACGCGTAATGTAACTGTATTCGGATTACTTTCAGAGCCATGTATTCAGTAATCAGTAACTGATTACATTTACAAAGTAACCCTCCCAACCCTGTTTATCACTAATGTATGTTAGTAAGTGTCTTAACAAATTACAATACATTTTTCATCAAAAAATTAAAAGCAACAATATTTTCTTTACAGGGAGCACACCCAAAGTAGCCATTACTACAAGGAAGGGCCTGGCTCGGGCTCTGGTCATGGTCACTACGAAAGACTTCGGGGTCCCTCTCCACAACTCTCCATTGACCAGTGTTCAAATTCAAGCTTTCGCTCAGATCGGGAGCAACAAGCTGGAAACTACGGCAGAGAGTGCTTTTCATCTGATGATTTGAGAGGACCTGAGGGCCACCAGGCCCCGCCGGTAGCTGGGAGGTATGCAGGAGATTCAAGCAGGAGGCCAACAGTAGGTCATGCGTATGCCTGCCAGAGCTCACCCACCCAGCCCCACCCTCCAGAGAAGAAAACGTATGCCAAAGAATCTGAACCAGAGGCTGGTGAAGATGCAGATGCTAAGCAAGGCATGAGGAGTTGGAGAATCCACTCCTATCTTAACACCTATGAGGATGGTGGCGAAGAAGGTCTGACACAACCTTTGGGTCCTGATGCATTTGAAGATCCCCCACCTCAGAAATCCTCTGCTGATGACAACCCCGCTTCCCGCTATGGACTAAAGGAGCCACCAAATGTTCCCAACAAACCCAAAGCAGAATACACGAGACCACGCTATGGAAAGCCCATTTTACCTGATAGCAACAGCAGAGAATCTTCCCTGACAACAACTAAGGATCTGTATTCGTCTAGCAGAGACCTAAGGCCATCTGTACTTGAGAAGGAAACAGAGAGAGGTGCAGCGAGGGAGGTCGGTGTGGATGTGGGAGGGAAAGAAGCTCCTGATCGCTTCCTTTCCAAACATGAATCATTCCATTCACGTAACAACCCACTACTTCAACGTAGCTCACGTCTGCGTTCTTCGCTTATTTTTTCCTCTTCCAAGGTAGAGATGCATAGTGGTAGCCTTGGCCTCAAAACAGCCACAGAGGAAGACGAGGAGTTGGACTCAGGGCGCACTTCCTCGATTGTGGCCCAGATCCTAGAGAAGAGGAGGTCATTGACTCGTGAGCCTTTTGAGTGGAGAAAGAAGGCTGAGGAGAGAGAGAAGGAGAAGGAGAAAGAGAAAGAAGAGAACGAGCGACTACAAAAAGAAAACGAGGCTCGATTGACAGATGAGCTCAAAGCAAAAGAGGAACTTCGGAAAAAGAACGAAGAGGTAAAGACGACGACGACAACAGCAGAGAAATTTGAAGTCTCCTCCTCATCATCATCCTCATCATCATCTATGAACATGAATGACCCCGCCAGTCGACTGCAGTATTTCAAAGAACTGGCTGCTAAGAGAAAAGCATCAAAAATGGAAACAGAGTTGTCACTTAAAGCCCCACAGCCTGTTGAGAAAAAGCCAGACCTTTCTGATAAACCTCCCATAAAACCTGCAATAACTCCAAGGATCCCAACTGTCTCTGTTAGTTCAGCAGAACCTCTACTAAAGAAGACAGACCTTTCTGCAAAGATAGCAGAGTTCACTCGCAGAACTTCCTTTAGTTCTGTGAAACCACCTATCTTGAAACCTTTGGCGAACCTCCTGAAGCCTTCGGAGACAACTCATAAAGATGATAATGCGTCAGATGGTCAAAAGAAGGATATATTCAAGAAGCCCTTTCCTTCACCTAATATCTTCAGGAGAGATCAGTTGAAGCTCAAAGGAATCGGTGTTCGTCGCATCTCCTGTGGTGAAGACGTTCTGACCACAGACGCTACGGACGCAGAGAAGAGTGAAATGAAAAAGAGTCGCCCTCATAGTTCTTCAACTCTGCCACGTGCCGATTCAAAAGAAGGAATGCAAAAAGTAATGGGGTCTACTACATCCATCAACACACTTGGTGATGGAAAGGGTGATGGTAAGACACTTGACTTCTTGAAGAAGCAGACTCAGAGGCTAAAGGGATTCCTGGGGCCCAAGGACAAGGAAAAGAGATCTTCAGGAGATGAAAAGAGCATGAGCACGGTGAAAGAGCTCACTGAAGAATTCAACAAAAAGCAGAGTTCATTGGTTAAAGATAAAGTATCAGCCACTACCGACCTAACTACAACCAATCACAAGACATCGACCATCACATCGGGTACATCTCGATACCAGTCCCCCAGCAGCTCTGTTATATTCAGCAGCAACCTACGAGATGACACTAAAGTCATCCTGGAGCAGATCTCAGCCAACAGCCAGAAGAACCGACTGGAAAGAGAAGAAAAAGGAGGTGACGCGGTCAATTCCGTAAAAAATAGCAGATTTCTGCGTCCGGTCAGCAACATCGAGGAGCGAGAGGGATTACTCAAGAGGATGGAGAGTATGAGGAAGGAGAAGAAGGTCTACAGCCGCTTTGAGGTAGTCTATCACTGTCATGCTGATGTTTGCAGCGTGGAGGGGAAAGAAATGTGAACAAAAGTATAGTTGTAATAAATGTAATGTAGTCACGAGTTAGTGTAATCAATGGTTTTAAGAAATCTCATTCTAAGCCATAATGTTTGGGAATTAGGACTATTTTAAGTTTATTCAGCAAATATATGAATTGAAATGTTTCTTGTAAATGCAGATAAACAATTGTGGTTTCATATATGTTCTACATAATTATAGAAATATGAGGACTCATAATATTGACAGTAGAGACATTCAGGTGAAAGTCATACACTGTTGAATTACATGTTAACCCTGTTGTTCTGTCAACAGATGGGGAATACCCTGGGATAACGAAAGATGGAGGAATCACCTTTTATATGGAAACTATTTATGCAAGATGATCAAAAAGACGCATTGCCCATATATGCCAACGACTCTATCAAAGTACCTCTTCGGCTCAACACTGCAGCCTTTCCTGGATTTTAATACGACGTAATAAAACTTGAAAAGACACTATAAAAATGCTGAAAACAAACTTAAGTCATTGGGTTTGGAATGTGCCTTTGTGCCAAGACATGGTACTACTTTGACCTTATATGGGGACTGAGAGAAAGAAGAGGGACTCTACTCTCATTGTGGCTGCCATGGGCTAATGTTTCACCCAACAGAAAAAGGTAGGGCAATTCACCTACAACTGAACTTGTGTCGACGTGACTGAGGGAGTACGAGAGAAATATAGAACATATTGCACCTGAGGGTTGATATAAAAAGGAATGTCAGGACATGGCAGTATGCAGTATTACGCCATGTGTACTAAGCTGTACCAGTGCTGTGTGTTTCTACAAGTGTCTGTGCAGCTGGGACTTGTCTGAAACTGAAATGGAGAAAACGTCCTTGTGGATTCACCGTGTGCCAATGGCCCACTGTGGGCATCACCAACGTTAGGATTATATTATTAATCCTGGAACAGAAACAACAATGAGAAAATGAAGGGGAATAAACATGGGATGAATTGATGAAGGGGGGCATTTTAAGGGCAAATCTGAGATTATAGAGAAAGCAGAAGCTATCCAAATCAATGTTTGTTTATAATAACTATTCTGATGTTATGGCAGAGTTTAAATAGAAAGGAAAGCCTGTAGTGAACTTTAGGTGTGTAGGCGTGGACCTGCTTCTCAGGGTTAAACGTGACAGATAACCATTGAGAGAGGCCCAACGCATTCATGGTTGACAAGTGGAGTTAAAAGATATAAGTGTACTATTCTTGGTCTAATGTAAATAAAGGTGTTAAGCATTTGTAGTTGCGCTGAACGACTGTAAAAAACAAAACAAAAAGTGCCCTGTTTCTCTATCATTTAACATTTGAATTAGCCATCAGGAAACAAAGAGGAACAACTAGCTACACTTTGCAGGACTGGAACAGGACCATTACATAAGTAATTTAACTTCAGAGACCTACGCCCTACACAGGACTGCCAACTCCTTTGTTGGTGGGTAAACACTAGTGCACCAAAGATGTAGTTATACGGTACAGTTCCCAGGCTGCTCAACAGGTCATTGGTTTATGCAGAACATCAAAAGCATGGAGGATGGATTGATTCATGGATAATAATGGATAATAATTCTGGGGTTACACTGTTTTTTTTTTAGGAGGGGTTATACTGTACATATTTATATAAAAAAGAACTTGTTGATAATCTATATAACAAATGAGAAATTGTTATATCACCCTAAAGTGCCTTCTGTTTTTCATTAATATGCAAGTATGTGGTCTTGGCTGTAAATACTAATTCGAATTAAGTAGGGTGGCTCAGTTGCACAGTAATGTGTTGTTGTTTAAAAAAATCAAACAACCTCAGAGAGTATTACATTGTAATTGAAATACTGTTCAAAAGTATTTTATTAAAACTGAATTGAACGTGGCTGTGTGCACATATATACATGTAAGTGTGTTTATTGTAGTGACTTGTATTGTTTTCATGTATAGGCTCTTTTAAGATTTATAATATGAACCCATTTAACAACATTACAACATGTCAAAACGTTACATTTCTTTAGTATATGAACACTTTTATATATAATATCAATACACACTATTTAGATAAGATGAACATACAGGATAGTGGAATCTGAAAAAACAAACAATTCATATCAAAAAGTTCAAGAAGCCAAGGAATAAACAGTTTGAAGTTGTAGGTGTTTGCACTATGGGTCTGGCAGGATCCTGCAACACTTGAATAGATTAAACCCAGGAAGTGACATTTATTAGATTTAAGGCTTTTACCTGACACAAAGCAATAAAAGTGCATCTAACAGGCAGTAAAACAAGGTGCCTCTGATTCTTTCCAAATACCCATAATCGCACCGTTTTACTCCCCCTGAGTCTCTGCAGCTGTGGTCGCTCGCTGCTTGTGTTCCTCCATCTCTTCCAGCTCCTCTTGGAGGCGATGAAGCTGAGCCAACTTCATTTGTTCTGTGAAAGTCACAGACCATCAGAGGTGTTGGAAATGGAACATTGTCACGGTCTGTTTATTTTTGAAAGTAAATGGTAAATGGTAAATGGACTGTACTTATATAGCGCTTTATCCAGTCTTTAAGACCCCTCAAAGCGCTTTACATACTACATGTCATTCACCCATTCACACCCATTCATACAGAGCAGTGTACCTTACTCTATAGGACCTAACATTCATACACATTCACACACCGTTGGCCATGCCATCGGGAGCAACTCAGGGTTAAGTATCTTGCCCAAGGATACATCGACATGTTGACTGCATGGGCTGGGATCGAACCCACAACCTTCTGGTTGAAAGACGACCACACTCCCTCACAGCCACAGTCAAAGTCATTTTCTCCTTGTCTTCCTGTCTGTTTCCCCTCCTGTCTGATTGTCTTCTGTTCACCTGTTGCCTGTGTTTCACCTCCCCTCCCCTGTGTCTTCTCTTGTGATACCCTTCTGTGTATTCAGTCTTGCTTTCCCTTGTGTTCCTCGTCCCTGTCCCCATGGTTTGGTTCCTTATTTCACATCATTCCCATGGTTGTTCCTGTTGCCCTTGTCTGCCCTCCTGCGTCCTCCTAGTTCTGTTTGCTCGCTACTTTCCTTTTGTTTTACTTCTCCTACTTCTTCAGTTTTGGTACCAGCTTCTAAGTTAATAAAAGCTTGCCTTATGTTTACATTCCCATACCTGCCTCCCCTGCTGTTGGGTCCGCATTACTACCAAACATAAACACTGAAGTCATGCATGTAAAGGATCAATGTTTTATGGCTTGCAGACGATGGGCATGAGTTAAGAGAGGACACTTACCGGCTGCCAACAGCTGACTTCTTCTATTCTTTGCACTTGTGATTTCATCTGGGAGCCTTTCTAGAGACTAAGTAACAGTTTGAAGGTTTGTCATTATTCTGTTTTGAAGATGTGAGAAAGTATATCAAATGTTGTACTCATGTTTATACAACATAAGACTAACTCACAAAGACAGAGTGCAGGTTCTTATGCTGCTCTATCAGATGAAGAAGTTGGTTTTCAAACTTCATCCTGCAATAACAAGGCTGATATTATTGAATCCACATTTTCAAGTATTTTTTCAAGTTATCCTTGCATTGTAAATCGTTACCGCTGCTTCCGGTGTTTAAGCTTGAATTCCTGGATTTCACATCTGTACTGTTCCAGAAGTTCCTCACTTTTCCTGTTCTGATTTAACTGCCTGCAAAACACACACAATGTAACACTTGGTTCAAGATAATACTTGAACTTCTTAAAATAAGAAAATACTCATTACCTTTCTGTCGTAAGTATTTCATTTAGTATACAGAAATCAGCTCTGCCATGTGATTAGTCCGTATGTATTTATTGAATTACTAGAAAACATGCTATATTGTTATGCCCTTATCAAGACAGAAGATATCACCTAGCCCTACGCAATACATATCAAATGTACAATTAGAGAAGTGAAAAGTTGACGATAAAACAAAGACCCAGAAAGGAATCAAACTCCGAAGCCTTAACACTCCACATCTTCCTTAGAGCCTTAGGAAAACTGCTCATTCAATCAAATCAATATATAGAAAGGAGTAGAAATGTATCATTGAAAAGGTATGAAGGGACACAAACTGGAATTCTTTGTACATCAACTTGGCAACTAGAGAAATAGATATCAATACAAGTCAATTAGGAACCGAGTCAAAACATTACTTATGTTTTTGTTTACAGTTCAAATGGAAGGGCTCAGAAAAACAAATCCAACATGTCCTAACAAATACAGAAAATACAGCCATCAGAGAATTTCTCGAGGATAATAAATATCTAGGATTCTGATGAGTTGCTGCCATCTAGTGTTACAAATCACCAACAGCAGTTTCACAAAGTGGAGAAATGAAAACGTTAAAGCGAAACTCAAAGCAGAACTCTTTATAGCTGCATTTCTATATATGTATTCTGGTTGGTGCCGAGCTCACCTGACCGAGTCCTGCTCAGACTCCGCACTCTGAAACTGAAGCTTCCTGCACAGCTCTGGAGAACAATCAGCTTAGTTCAATGTATTGTGTTTGTTTTAACATGACAGATTTATTTCCAGACAGTCAGTCAGCCAAAACATTAACACGACATGGCAACAAATGTTCATACTTATTGGGATATAATCAAATACACATGTACACGTGTTTGTCTGCGTACCTTCTTTTTCTTTAAGGATTCCTTCCTGTTGGTAAGCTTCAGTTTGTACTGTAAACAACGACAATGGTTAGTAATGATAGATAATAAACAACATAATATATGGTACATGAGACATAAATAGTTGCAAATAAGATAGCAAATACATGTATTTTCTACTTATATTTTAGCAACAGCTACAATAGCTTCATTGGATACAGATCAAATATAATTATTATGAATGATTTTGTGTCTTACAAGATGCCAGTTCTTTCTGCGAAGAGTCACTGACGCATTTGATCTCCTTGATTTCCTCTTCCAGGATTATTTTACCTTTGAAAGAAACAGTGTGACTAAAACATGACAACTGTTCAGAAGTTCAAATGTGGGGAAATGTAAAAAGTAGAGAGGTAAACCAAAAAAAACTTTGCTAATTATTTTTTTTATCTCAAAGATGATGAAAAGAACAAAATAAGTTCTCAACATTTTCCTTGTTCACAAGCAAAGTCACTGCCCCTTCTGCAAGGGAGATGCTATAGAACACATTGAGCTACACATTGAATGGATTACTCAGACAATTCGTTTATATATTATTATAGTTTTGTGATGCAAATATGAATGGAATTAGTTTTTTTTTCAAAACCCGTACTGACATGAAATGCAGTATATCCAAGACAAAAGAGTGGAAATCATTTGTAACATATGTACCACATGTTTTTTTCTGTGCACATGAGTCGTTAAGAAATAGCGATATTTGCCAACATACCTGCCATCCAGTTTCATCACTACGAAGACTCTGGTATAGCTGTTTTCATTCACATGTATGTCAGACTGGTCTTAGAGGGTGTTGCAGTTCCCTCTAAGATGGAGATATTAATCATATCTCATGGTTCTCCATTCATCATGTTCTGAAACTCCTTATTAGGAGTAACAGGTAAGGATGTACCTCACTGAAGATACCAGCTTCATGATATGAGAAACATTAAGATCAGTACGTACAGCCGTCTTACTCGCGGTGCACAATCACAAATCTTTCTCTCAATATCTAACCGTTGAGTCGTAAAGTTTTCACTTCACTTTCCTCGGGCATCAACATGGCATTTTCACCCAGAGAACTGCCGCTCACTATATATTTTACATTTTCAGACCATTCTCAGTCAAAACTAGAGATGGTTGTGCTGAGAATCCCAGTAGATCAGCAGTTTCTGAAATACTCAGAACAGCCCGTCTGGCCACAACAACCATGCCACGTTTCTTCCCCATTCTGATGCTCTGTCTGAACTCCACCAGCTCGTCTTGACCATGTCTATATGCTTAAATGCATTGAGTTGCTGCCATTTGATTGGCTGATTAGATATATTGCGTTAACGAGCAGTTGAACAGGTGTACCTAATAAAGTGGCCAGTCAGTGTGTATCATAGTAAAAGCACACAGTGATGATGACAAGCTACATTTGTCTCGCCCTGCATTAGAAAAGCCGTCAAAGTTAAAAAAAGAACATAATCAAACTAAAAAATGTATTAAAAGAAAAGATGTCATATTCACAGGAAATAATTTTCAAATTGATTGTTTGACACAAATTCCATGCACACAGTTTATCAGTTGGACTCCTATTATTGATGTTATGAATTTAATATAATGTGAACTATCCATAAAATGTACTTAATGTCTTCAATGAAGGCTTTATTAAATTGTTATGGATTTGTATTCACATTTATGTCAGACTGGTCTTAGAGGGTGTTGCAGTTCCCTCTAAGATGGAGATATTAATCATATCTCATGGCTCTCCATTCATCATGTTCTGAAACTCCTTATTAGGAGTAACAGGTAAGGATGTACCTCACTGAAGATACCGTCAAAACGACGTGAGAGCCTGTTAGACCATTCAGAACAGCGGTCTTACTCATGGTTTTAAGTTTCGATATCGGAATTCAACTTTTGCCTACCACATGTAGTTGAATGTGTTGTTGCTTGAATTCTGACCTTTATTTTGTTCGTTCATAAATATGTATGTTCTATTTGCTGTTCTGTCGGTTAAACCTAAAAGGAAACGTGTTCATTTGCATAACAGAGCAAACCCTGCTTTCTCATTGGTGCGCATTCACAAAGGTTTCTCTCAGTTTCTCTCAATCTCAGACGACCTTGTATTAAAGTTTTCACATTGCAGGAACAATTTACCTCTATATGACACACTACACTCAGTCCATGTGCTTATTCTTAAGTAGTTTTGAAGTGTTCAACAAAAGAAAAACAGCTCGATTTAACATCGGAAGCGGAAGGGTTATTTTACAAAGACTAACACACATTTCAAGATGTTGACTCCCAAATCCACATCATGCATTTGCTACGTTTCAAATGTATATAAGTGCTGCTTTCTAAAGATACGTACTAAATGTTGTTGTGATAACAGGACTCGCATTGATCGAATGATTAATATTTTAGTATGAATGCAAAACCATGAACGATCAAGGGACCGCCGACACGAACCAAATGCAACACGAAGACGGAAGAGCGCGACAGTGACTCATCTTACCTAACTTTGTACTCTTTGTGTTACCTCTAAATAAACTGAAATTGTGAAGCAGTTTGTTTTTTAATTCAAATAATGTTGTATTCTTCGTGTCCAGTATCCATTCAATGCAATTGTTAGATGAAAAAAGAAGGTTCACAAGTTACACAAAAAGGATATGGAGGTGTTGTGTTTTCTTAACTAGAAAACAAAAACTGATCTCATCTTTCTCCAAAATATGTCGCTGTTTTCTGAACTGCCTGACCAGACTTTATCCTACACTACTCACTTTCCTTTTAGTATGCTATACAATGCACATCAAATGTCTCAGTAACTTCTGGAAATAAAAAAAAAACGTTATAATGTTATAACTCTACCTTGTTGCAGCCTCCTCAATTTGCCCATCAGCTGTTCAACTTTGGGCTCATGCATACCTCCACCTGACAGCAGAGCATGAACATGTCAGCCTTGTTTATAGGATCTTTTTTTAGGTTTAAATGTATAACATGTGCTACTTCACCTTCGTTCAGCGGTATAACATTAATCAAGTCCCCAATGTTAAATCCTGTGAAAGAAAAATACATGTTAGATAAGTGAAAAGTTTTGGTCTTACTTCTATAATGTCCCAATAAGCATAGGCCTATAGGCTTATATACCGTAAGTGTTAGATATCTAAAAGCATCACAAAGTCATAGGTATTTTTAGGTTTCCCTTATTATTTAATTTACATTATAAAGAGTTACGTTTGTTAAAGTTAACATACAAGCCTTCTGCTTAAAAGCTATTTTCAGGTTAGGGCTCAGACTTCGTTTTTAGCTAACATATACAAATGCTAATGTTTAAAAAATGTAACCACACCTACTTGACTGTAACATAGCCAATATTTGAGTGATACGCTACATTAAAAAGGAACATATTGAATACGAAGCCAATGCTTTTGTACGTTCCTTCACTACAGTACTCTGGGTTGTTTTATTTAAAGTTAGCTTTAGCTTACAAGTTACACAGTCAACTGGACAGCAGACTACCGTTTATCAATATAAGAAGATTCCTTGGAAGATTCTTAAACTCAGTAATGTAATACAATTTTCCCTATAGTGACTTATATTTCAATATAAATTTAAGCTGTCTAACCTGTGGTTTCGGACATGTTTATCCAGCGAGGGAAGTCTTTTCCTAAGATATCTAAACTAACAGTTCTAACCGGTTCTAACTGAAGGAGCGGAGGGATCTCAACGTTTGCCGCCAAAAGTGCGCCGGCCGTCTATTTTCTGAATGGATATAGTGGCCTATATACCATACCTTTTCAAATTGACTTACATTTGGGATCTGTAATTCAGCGTATAGTTTTTTGGAGCTACATAAACGACCCAGACCGAAGGCTTGTATATCTCAGCATTTGTAATTGCCTTATGGAAACATCGGCGTCACTTTGTATATACGGTAACAAAAAACCCAAATAAACACATCAAACATTACTGAGTGGGACCTTTTACAACTGAAAAATAAAGTTTCAGCTCTATGTCTGACAGTTAATAAATCAACGTTTTTATAAGTTGATTTAGTTATTTGTATAAGTTCCAAAGCTGCATAAAACTTCCCTTTTAACTGTATTATTTTCTTAGATATTATATATATGATTTATTAGTAGGCTATTTCCAAATTTAACAAAACAGTTTAACACACAAAGTTGGACACAATTATATTTGATAAGTTTTAATGAAAAGCTAACAGCTGTGTAGAGGAGTGCAGTTCCACTTTGATTTAATGCAAATATACAATGAAAACAGAACTTCAAAACCCCAAAATTACTTCATCTATACACATCAAACCACTAAGGAGTGCTTTGTACAAGTACACGTTAGTTAGATACAAACACAAACGTTAAAAAAAAAGAAGAGTTTACCAGGGCTGCCCAACTCTCTCATAAACCGGAATATCTGTAAATTGTGCATTATCAGCACATGCAAATGAGAGGGTCATGCAAGAGGTGAAAAATCTGAACAGAAGTTACAGAATAAAAAAATGTTCATGTTGAATATGTCAGTCGAGTGGTGTGTGTTTATGTGCAAGGAGAATTCTGTCTTCCAGTGCATGTTGATTCCTTTACCTTGTGTATATAATGGTTTCAGAATCCCCTTAAGTAACTCCAAACAACAGTTTTTTTTTTGTTCAACACCAGTTTAAAAACCTTCAAATCAACGCTGGTACCTACATCAAGCTCAATAAATAGATAAGTTATAAGTCTGTCGTCCATTTACTTCCTAAAAGCTAATAATGAAGTTCTGAAACCTGGATTAGCTTGATATAGAGGTGGTCAGGAATTCCAAAACGTTTTGTTCACATTAGCTAATAAGAAAAAGAAAACACAGCACTACATTTGCACTTCACATTAATGACCAGATAAGAGGAAATTAGTAAGAACAGTAAAGAAAAAAAAAGGGGACACATCAGCTTATGTAATGATTTATACTAAAAACTAATTTCTCTTTCCTCTTCAAAAGATGTCCGTAAGAATATACGGTTTATAAATACTGCTTTATGTTCATGTTAAGTTATATACATCCAACATTGATCTTCATTCTCTTGCCATTATAATATTTAAGTTGCTGTACTCGGTAAGTGAAGTTCTGATATCAGAGCAATTATTTCCTGAAAAGCAACAAATCCAAAGGAATCACTTCAGCATGCCATTTGGNTAACCCTCCCGCTGCCTCCAGGTGCTGCAGAGATTTCATGAAGGGAAGGAGGTCCTGCCAACACTGGCAGGACAGAAGACGACAAGCCCGTTCTAAGCCCGGCTTAGAACGGGCTTGTCGTCTTCTGTCCTGCCAGTGTTGGCAGGACCTCCTTCCCTTCATGAAATCTCTGCAGCACCTGGAGGCAGCGGGAGGGTTAACTCAGCCTCTGAGAAGACAAGCGCGCAGTGCCTTTCACCCACCGCCTTCACTGTGTTTACCTTCAGAATCATCAGAAAGGCTAAAGAGCGGTATGGCTGATGTGTTTACTTTTAACTTTTAACCACACACACTCCTTCAATGCAGTGCACCAACACATAAATAAAGAAGCAATAAGTGACGAGTCAAGAAACAGGGAGTCCAGACTGATAAGTTCAAAAGCAATGCACTTAACCAAACACGCACACACGCACGCACGCACGCACGCACGCACACACGCACACACGCACGCACGCACGCACGCACGGACGCACACACACACACACACACACCTCCACACACCCACACACACACACACACACACACACACACACACACACACACACACACACACACACACACACACACACACACACACACACACACACACACACACACACGATTTAAACGCAGACTTGTGTTCCTCCATGTTTCGTTATTGTTTCACTGAGCGGACCCGCGAATATTTTTCAAACGCTCCCTTTTTTGGTCCATCTGCGGCGGTAATAGGTTTTGTGCGCTGTGATGATTCGGCTGTACCTTTGGTAATGAATATTAAATGTTGTGAGGAAATCTTTCCACCAATAATTCCAATAGGTAATCCAAAATGTATTCACTTCAGGTTTACGAAAGTAACTGTAATCAGATTACTTGTTTTTCAAATGTAACGCGAGCTGAATACAGTTACTTGATTTTTGTATCACCAACCCTGGTGATACATAATTATGAAATAAATAATTCACAGTTTCCAAACATTTGTAGGGATTAAATGGTTAACTACCTGTGGATGTCTGTCTCATCCAGATTATTCATGACTCTGGACTTCATGTATTGCCTTGAAGATGAGTAGCTTTCCTGGGTTCCTTCAGCATAGCTGTGCCTCTGGAAGGCACTGCTACTCGCATCCATCTGCCTGGAAACTATGGACCTTCCCTGCTCCAGGAACGAATGCTGCAGACGAAACTGTTGCTGGGAATACTTTCCAATTGTAACTCCTGTCCCAGGTTCAACAGTGTGACGAAATGGATCGTTCCTTCGGAAAGGAATTGCGGAAGAGTCGCCATAGGGGAAGGCAGGGGAAATCTCAGGCTGCCTGCGGTAACCTACGGGGGTGCGCAAAGACTGGGTCCTCTTCAAACCAAACTGGGTGCCTAAGTAACTGCTTGTGCTGCTGCTGTCAGAAAGAGCAAGTGCTCCATTGGATGGGTCAATGACCAGCGGCTCTGACTGAGCGAAGAGAATTCTAAACTCTTCATCGAAGGTGGACACCAGTTCCCCGAGGAAGAGGTGGGCGATGCAGCGGTGGATCTTCTCATAGGACCACATGAAACTGTAAGAAATAAGACAATAGAGTCAATTAAAGTACTTTACAGAATAAATGTACAACAAACATAATAAACATAATTAAATGACTCACCTGTAGTTGCCACTCAGCACAGCTTTGCAGTCAGCCAAAAGGAAACGATCTTTCACCTGCCCCTTGAATGATTTCCCCGTGCGGGAATAATAGGTTACACCTGCCACCGTCCTGACGCGCAACATCTGTAAAAACAAATTCCAATCATGTTATTTACACATGCAAGCCGTGATGGAAGTTACATGTTGTAAATAACAAAATAAATGCTAAAGGATAGCCAACTCTTCAGACTCTTTTGAGAAAACAAAAAAAAGGCAAACTCACAGGGTGGTGATCCAAGTTGACTTTGCAGTTTAAGACCATAGTGATAAACTGATGAGAGTCCTGCTCATCCAGTAGAAGGTAAACTGGAACGTGCCGTGCTGTTGCATCCAAGAGGTCCGCAAAAAGGTCAACATCTGTGAACGTGTCCATCACGATCGCAATAACCTGAAGAAGAAGCAAAAACAAAAAAATACAAAATTAGGTTTGGTCCGTTTCAGAGGGACTTTATCAGCAAGATAAAGCAGAGAACATTATGCTCTGAGGAAAGAGGACTGCACATTATGTGATCACTTTTATGGTACTTTTAACATACTGTTTACACATTTCTCCTGACAGTGTGATAAATGAGTTGGATGTCAAGACTAATCTTTGTTCTAACGTTATTTACCTTACATTTGATTTAGCTGACACTTTTATCCAAATCGTTATACAATAAGTGCAATCCACCATGAAGATACAAACTCAGAACAGCAAGAACTCATTACATTTGAGTACGTATACATGTAAAATACAATGTATTCATGTAGTAAAATAACGTCTCTCAAATAGACATAATGGCTATTTAACTACATTCAGTGTATCAGCAATACACCGTACGTTATTCCCAATTAAATGTACATAACAGACATGTCATAGAAAGATGAATGACTCCTGAGATAAAAATGGAGGACAGATAATGACACGGCCCAGTCAAACAGGTTTGACTGCTTTTGGTATGTACACATAGTGTTAACTTTATTTTAATCTTACATAAGGCCAACCTGTTATAAATTCATCTAAAAGGGAGTGGTGGCAAATATGACAGTTGTAGATAAAACTAACAGTGAGATAACACAACCCTCACATACACCATTTCCTGGCAGCTCTATCTTAAAAATGTTCAAGGGAGTTACACTTTGATTCGAGAGAAAGACTTTGCAGACCGTTTACATGCATAAAAAATAAAAATTCATAACACGCAAGGGGACGGGTAATAACCGGAAAAGCATGACATGGGACCTTTAAATTACATCATAGTTTATTCATAGAGTGTGTCAGATACAAAAGCATATTTTACATGTTTGTTGTTGCACACTGAATAATTTACTAACATTGAAATCTTTGATCGCATCCTAAATTCCAGCTGAAAGCAAACCGGATTTACAAGTTTAACTTACTTGGCGTGCATTCTTGATGAGTCTTCTGGCCTGCTCCTTGATGCTCGGCATGTCTGGGTCGGAGGGGTTCACTAGAGTGGTGACCTCTGTGGGCCCCATGAAGCTTTGCTGGGGCAGCGGCCAGCCCAGATCCAGCCCCGGGGCGGCCAGGTCGGACTGCATCGGCCAGTACGTGTCGGAGGAGCCATCTTCTTCCAGACCTCCTTCAGGGTACGTCAGCTCGGGCATGCCGGAGGTCTGGTTCGGCGCGTGGATCGTGGATTTGATCAGATCAATCTCCTGCTGTGCCAAGAAACCAACCACATCCGCAGACTGGAGGAACTCATGGTAACCCTGCAGTGACAAAGCCAAATTCATTATGTCGTTAAATACAATGTATTCTTCTTAGAGAGTTTTATATAAATATTATTTACAATCACACGTTAAAAAACCTAGAAAGCTGCAGGGTTACCTGTACGTCATTCTCTATCAAAGCATCAATAGCCAGGCGATACTCCTCACGGTAATGTGGGGGCAGGAAATTTGGGTCGAGGGGGTTTTCCCCAATCGATGAAGACTGGGATCGGTGTGCCATGATTGGAGAGAGAGGGGCGGGTCAAAGGTCAGGGCTAGGGTCGCAAGGGATAAAGGGAGAGGGAATTTGAACCTGTGCAGAAAGAACAAAAAGGTCAGTGTGAGACAGAATTGCGTTGTTAAATTAAAAAACATTATGTAAAAATGTTTATTTATACAGGCGCTTGTACAGTTCATTTAAGGGTTTGAGAGAAAAAAAAAATTCTAAGGTTTCTAAGAATCTTAAAGCATTTTTTAGATGAACTATTTTTCAGTCACAGTTGCAACTGGATAACACATCAAGCATCCATTTGTGTTATACTACTTCTAATTGATATAAATATTCTTCAGGGTGGTGAGGAAGAACAATTTGTGTCAGGGTTCACAACACAGATTACCAGTAACCTCCGACACAAAGATTCTATTGTTGTGGAGGCAAAGGCCTGTGCAGTAGGTTTACCAAGTTCACCTTTCATGTTTACACAACTTCTCCCCACACAATACCACATGCTTATAATCCTACAGATTTTAACATTTGTGACAGATCTGCACAATTATTTATTTTTTATCCAAGGGCCACGTCTCCATTTTTAAGACGGGTAAATGAGTGCAGTCTATGGATCATTTTGTTAAAACAATACAAATACTGAATAGGTGTGGCTCTCTACCTACAATTGAAATAATTGTTTGAAGTGGTTTGTCATATAATAATTGACTGGATGACCTTAGGCCATATTAATAATAAAAAAAACCTGATATATTGTTTGCAACCTATTTAATGCCAATGCATCATCAATCATCAATGCATGCTGTTCACAATATACTCCCATTTATAAAGTTGTTATTAATGGCATCATGCACTGTTTATTTAACGTTTAATTCAACGTAACATACTAATAGCACAGATTACTAACTTACTTTTCAATCTGGTTTATATAAAAAACTGCAGTAATATAAAAACAACAGGATATGGAAAATAAAAAGGGAGGGAGAGAAAGAACAAAGTGAAGTTAGAGAAAAGGGAGGTGTAGGGAAGAGGTGGGAAAGGCATTTCGAGGTGTACAGACAGGTTCTCTCATATCTCAGCAAATCTTCCTGCTGGTGCGTCATGCTTCAAGTTGTTACTCGGAACTCATCCTGAAAAATCAGGTTCAGTCGTAACACATTCATTCATTTAGAGAACGATGAGTACTTGATCTCACTTAATCTACGTGTATGAAAGGAACATTGTTACATTTCTTAATTTTTACTTGAGAAAGAGCCGGTGGAAACGTTTGGGATTCACTTTGAGGATCAACTAACCTTGAGATCAAAGTTCAACCTTATTTAAATGATTTAATCTGCAGATAAATGGATTACAATTTCTCACTCCAAGGACAAATATACAATATCCAAAAACCATTTACAAAAGCTAGAGACAACTAAACCAGGCAAACTGGAAGCTTACAACAACAATACAACAAGGAAGGACATTATAATAATCATACAAATAATAATAAATAGGGCTCCGCTATAGATTCATTATTTCAACATTAAAAAGCTTGTTGATTGGTTCAATCACATCCTCACAGCTGGGAAGATGAAACAAGGAAAAAAGATTATTGTGTCATCAAAAAAGTTGCAGATTAAAAAATTATGAATTAACTATGTGTTTCAGCTTTAATAACAAAAGCAGGTTTGACCGGCTTGGTTTAGTGAGGGTTTTTCCATTATTACTTGAATTCTGTTAATTATTTTGTCGTTTACTGTATGTGCTTGGAAAGATAAAGTAAAGGTTCACTAAACAGTTTGAATGCCGGATGCTAACCTAAAACACAACCACGTGTTATGCACCATCAGCTGAGCCATCCAGGACAACCCTCATTGATCTTTAAAATGTTCCTGAGAGCTGCGGACTGTAGGGCCATCTGATGCAGGAGATGTAAGCCAGAGAGCGAAGAAAAATGTACCAACATATTGGAATGATTTGACTGTTTATATCTCTCCTTTAGCCACTTCCGGGCTCCATAGACTTTTATGTTTAGAACCACTTAAACAGTTCCAGTATTGGAAGAAATCTGGTTCAATACTTTGTCAATCTCAAACAATACAAGTGTTCCTTCTGCACATCGCAACATGTGTTCAAAACAGGAAGTGTTTTACACTGTGTGGATAAATCACAACAGAAACGTCTTTCTGTGCAACTATGTTTGACTGACAGCCTGGGTTCATGATCAGGGTTTGTGTGACCTGGGGTCTGAGTGGGAGGGTGAGTAGATGCTTTGGAAGGGTTTACCTGTTAAAAGAGTGTGTGAAGTGTTTTCTATGAACTTCCACTCAACTTAAAGAGATTGGTGGGGATGGAAAACGTCCCTATGGCATTACCCGTAATCATAGGGAGAAGCCGGTTTATTCAGAGCCTCGTGAGTCACTGGGTCGCCCGGCCTGGCCTGGGGATAACTTGCAACATACCTCTCTCTGATGATTCATCTGCTGGTAAAATGGCTGACATCCCGTTTCCTTTCTGGGTTTTAACCACAAAAATTGCTCTGTCCTGTTCACATTAAAACTTCCATAGTGGACAGGGAGGCACGTTAGACGCACAAACTGCTTGAATGGGATAGCTTTACTAATGCCAAGTTTCTAAAATGGAAGAGTCTAAACTACTTTCATGTGTCTTGTTTTGCTCAATGTTTTAAATCATGAAGCAGCCTGAGGCTTGATCTGTGTTTAAGTGAATCTGATGAGGCAGCATTAAGCATGCATACCTGAGGACTTGTGATAACAGCCATAAAGAGAGAGATGTGCACCTGCCTGTGGTCGTCATAACGTTTTAATCTCAGAAAATCCATTGATGTGGCAACATAGCAACAGCCAAAAAACAACACTGCAAGTAATATGCAAATTGTGAAATCATCGTTTAACGTGTCGCTGCATTCCAGTTTCCAAAACCTAAAGGGTGAAATTACTATTATCATTATATGGCTTTATTTTTGTGTTTGCTTTCTGATCAACAGTCCAAGACCTAAAGATATTGAGTTTATCCTCATGGCAACATTCAGCAAGTTCCACCAGTCGAGGCATCAACTAATCTTGCAGCTCCATAGGTAATATTCAGCACTTTACTTGGAAAATGAGTTGAAAGAGTTCTAAATTGTTGAAGGTTAAAACACTCTACCGTAGAGAAATAGCAGGGCAGATGGACCCTGAGGTGAATATGATCTGCCTGAAGAGAACAGTAGCACTAAACAGAGCCCGGGGGTTTCTTATTCACCCTCTGGACCACGGGTCAATGCAGACGAACCAACGGGGAAAAAAATACAATGAAAAAGAGACATGGCCGCCGTCCTCCACCTCACCTGGCTGTCCAATATTCAAACAAATACCACTGCTTTGTTTGTTGTTATAGTAACTGCAGTAATGCATCAAACAGTAGAGACATGATGAGAGAGATCTTTCTTTCCCTCTGTTCCTCTCTCACTTTCAAGGCTTTCTTGCTCTAAATGCACCAATAACAAAGGTGGTTTGAAACACTAAACCACCACAGGGGCGGCCAGAGACCGACTGCAGCTCCTCATGGTGGATAAACCCAATATTCAGATGCCCAACGTTTACTCACTTAGCGAGAAAACTGCTCATTCACAGCCTTCCTGCCCCGGGAAGAGGGAGAAACATTAAGAGCTGAGGGAGAGAAAAGGTTATCTGTCTCAACATGTGAACCAGATAAACGAGTCTGAAAGGACAAACTCTAAATTATATTTTGTGTTTCCTCTCTTGTCTCGCACACATCTGAACACTCCTCACTAAACAAACACTCTGATTGATCCGGCATACCTCTCCGGTCCAGTCATTCTGTGCGATAATTCTGTGTGAATGGAGTGAGAAACGAATACCTGAAAACAGGTTAGGAGAGAAGAGCCAGTAACGTCCTGTGTCAGGAACTTTGAATGCCTCTTTGGGCAGATTAACATAGATAAGAGCAAACACAGAGTACATCTTTTCTCTGTGTATCATCACACCTCAGTGCTAATGTTGAATGCCACAAAAAGACAGCTGAAGGTCAGAAGAATGTATAGGAAAAATGGCGGCACCTATCCCTAATTTTTAAACTGTGTTACATAGCAGCACTGCTAGAAAAACAGGTCCTCGTCAAATGTTCCAACTGCCTTAATGTCTGTGGTCCTCTTGAGTGGAAAACCCAACAATAAATGCATGAAAAATTTCCTACTCTGCTCCTTCTCTACTCACAGAAGCACGTTATTGTGCATACATGAGTGATAACCACAGACAATGAACCCTCGTAATACATCAAATGCAAACAAAGCTGGCCTTCTGCTCGGCCATATAGCTAGTGTAAGAAGATGAAAACTATAAAAAGAAGCACACAATCATGTGGAGATGCCAGCTCTACAAACTGTTCCCCTCAAATTATAAACACATGTTGGATTATTCCGATCCAGTGAGTCACATTGAATGAATGGAGGAACAGCCTGTGGAAGTGAAGTTTGAATCAATGGCTTGTGTGAGTCAAAGCTGCCCACACAATTGATTTTGTGTTTGCAATAAAAGATACAATGAGAGCCTAGGACAGATCAAAGTATGCAGGTGACAACCTGTGGAACGCGTATTGCTAAACAGAACAGTCTGTGTAGTCGCAAACGACCTTCTATTATCTCAGCAATTATCTTTGGATTAGACTCTAATTTAAAGATAATTGCTGAGATAATGCAAGGTCGGGCTAACTTGACATCCCTCTAATTATTAGAGGGATGTCAAGTTAGCCCGATGACATGCAATGCAATCCTTAGCAATGTGCAACCAAGCATTAGACATGCTTGTTAAAATGTCCATGTCTATTCAAACATAATTTATCACCTTGCGTTCCCTACAAAATATCCACACAGTCGGACTAAATTTAGCTTTTTTTCTCTTTCAATAATGTCTTCAAAGGACTGGAGAGAGAGCAGTATTTAGTGCCAGCCAACACGGAGCCTTCTTGTGTGCTTGGACTATAATAACAATACTGTTCAGGTTTTGCAATGGCAGCAGCTACCTCAATGACTTAATCCTTCAGACTGCTGCTGGTGAGGAAAGTAACCCGCATTTCACTTTTTGATTCTACCCACATAGATTGAGCAATGAATGGAAAATAATATGGGGTGGGGGGGGTGGGGGGAACTATGATACCAGTTAGGATATACAAGGACAGGACCTGGACACCTTTCAATAGAATAGAAAAATAGGAAATAATTAGGATAGAGTTAAAGGACGATAAAACTGAAAAGAACACATGCAGTAGGTCTAAAGCAAGATACAATTAGAATATAATAAAACTTAATCAAGTAGTAAGACATTTTTATAAAATAACACAGGACAGAATAGAGTTTAAAGTATATATATATTACTTTAAAATATAATTTAACGGGACACAATAATATAACAGAATAGAATAGAGCATCTGTACAAGTGGTTCTTTGTCCCATTTTGCAACTTCAAACTCCGCTTTATTTTCCACTCCCTACCTCCTATAACTTGGCTGCAGACCTTGTCTCCTTTCCTCTCTTTGTACCAACGGGTATCGCTCTCCCCGGTGAAATATATCAAATTCCTCAGATCCGGCTACAACTACAGCCAAACCCCCCGGTGTGCACCCTCCGCTGCCGATCAGCAACACCGACTCTCCACAGACTCCAGGCCGGGATAAGTGCTTCTCTCGGCGGGCTGAGGTCCTCCAGAGCCGCCGCCACTCGGCATAGACAGCGCGGTGAATGAGGAAGCAGCGGCCGCTCCTGCAGGCTCTCCCCCTCCGCCGGGAGACTCCTCCCAGGCAGCCGAAGACCATTGGAAGTTCACTCCCAGTGGAGTATATAAGTGTTGACCTTTATGTCATTGCTGATGATAATTGTTTCGAGGCCAGTTTGTGCCAGCCTTGTTCCTTGTACTATTTACAGTGTTTGCCCGGTCTTGGCATTGTTTTGCTCTTGTCTAGTTATCTTTACAGTGGAAGAAGAAGAAGAAGTTCATATCTAAAACTGTTTTTATCCCACTGTAGAACAACTCTGTAAGGGGTAAAGGTCCTACATTTAGTAATCTATGTAAAAGTTCTATCAATGTACAATACAATGTAAAATATGTCTACCAAAAGTAAACATGTGGCCTATTCAAGATAGATTTATATTTATATATTATTTTAATTATGCAGCTATTATTGTGTTAACCACTTAAATGTTGCTGCTGATTAAGGTAGGGATCATTTGAATGGATTTATATATAATGTATTTTATATCTTACTTTACACACTGTGGTTCTTCTTTAAAAGGATCCATACTGTCTTATTTGCAATATATTTATTGATTATAGTTTGTATTGTTAACCTTAATGCACTGGTAGCTATTAGTTACCAGATAAAATTACTATTTCCCTAGTTGATATTTCTGTATTGTGCTGTTAGATAAGTGTTGGCTAACACGCTGACATGTCTGGGTTTGCAGTTGGTTAATGTGTCTGAATATTGCCATGAGGAATGCTTTGTGTAAATGATCAGACAGGAAAATAACAATTTTATTCATTCGACATTACTGTTTGGCGACTTTATGCGCTTCTCTCTTTGTGGTACCACATTTGAGCATTTTCTAATATCCTGTATTAATTAGCCTCTTTTCAGTTATTTAGGCTAACTTGTTTTTTGTTGTTTTGCAGGCCACGTTCTCTACAGAAACGGTATGAATTACTCATGCTGTTTTTTTCCGTGGCAAAACACTGAATCAGCAGTCTTTAACAGTTGTCTCTCTCTAGTGCAGGCTACAGCACTCAGTTTCTCCTTCTTTAATATGGGCTATATTTTAGTAGGTTGTTTTTCTGAAGGCCATAAAGTGACAGTGCAGGTAATCATTAGATTCCAGATACGCTACTCGTGCATGTACAAATTTAAACATAATTTGAAGTTGTTGGATTTGACTGATTCTTCTCACACTTTTTTCCAACATGTGAATGATTATCTATTATGTCTCTTTCCTTTTCTGCTTGTCTGAGTTAAATCCAACATTTTTTGAACTTCAGTCTCCACCTTTAACTGATTTGCTCTCTTTGTTTTGGTGTTTCTTTATTTACCTTGCACTACTTCTCATTTAGATTCTCAATCCTCCTCTCTGTGTCACTCACTTGCAGTCAACTACAACAGCAAACATGAAATGAACTCAAGGCATAATACAGGTAGGTTGTATCTTCCTGGTCGAATGTACTTATTGTAAGTCGCTTTGGATAAAAGCTTCAGCTAAATGCAATGTAATGTAATGTAAAGGTTAAACAGCGCTGTGTGTGTGCACTTTATGGGCCGTCCTTTGTCCTGAAACATGTCTATCAGACAGAACACACCTTGTTTTATGGCCCTCTGAGAGCAACACACACTTATGAATTCGACTGTATGTTCAGTGCTGCTCCTAAGGGTGTGCCTCCTGTTTGAATGCGCCCTTGCCCTTTTGAGCTGTTACACACTCAAATAGCAGGAGTTTGCACTTTGCCTTTCATCTCTTTTCCAATTCATGCAAATGTGCAACTCTCAGCATGACAGAGATATGGAAGGAGAGTAAAGTGTTTGCATGCAGCCATGTGAGTATTACAAGTAGACCATGACTGTGCATCATTAAGAATACTATGTGTGTTTCAGGGAAATCGTGTCCAATGAAAGAAGTTCCAATAGAGAGAAAGTGCCTGCCTCCATGAAAAAGTTCTGCTAACAAACACTAGCAGGTATACAGACGCTGAAACGCAGGGTGCGGCAGCTGCAAGGAATGTGCTCAAGGCATCTTACACCACACCCAACTCCTCCCCTCGCCCTCTATCCCCCTCCCTCTCTGAGTCACCTGGCAGCCAGTGGACAGGTGTACAGGTCCAGGCAGAGTCTAGGCAGCAGCCAAATCCTGGCTTGCATCTCAGCATACATGGCAGAGGAGTCGGGACGATTTGAATTCAAACAAACTTTATTGACATGGCAGTTAGAGTTCAATGTTGACAATGGAGTTAAGAGCAAAAACAAAAAAAGTGCATGACTAAGGTCTATGTTGGTAATGGAGGTTACTCGAGTGAGAATAATAAAAGTTAAATGTGAATAAAAGACAAGAGCAGAGCAGGACAAAGTACTCAGATAAAAGTATAAATACTATGTTCTGAAAATACTCCATTACAAGTAAAAGTCCTGAGATTATAATGTTACTTAAGTAGAAGTACATATGTATTATCAGCTTAATTTACTTATACTATCAAAAGTACTAAGTATGCAGAACTTCTCTTTTCACAGCATTATATAGAATACTATATAATCCTGATTGTGACGTTTAAAAATGCATGTAAAAATGTAGGGGTACTTGAGTAAATGTACTTAGTTACATTCCCACAACTGAATACCATATATGCTCCACATTTAAAAAGAAAAATGATGCAGTACTAATTTGTTCAGCCATCACAAGCCTTCAAATTAGCTTAAGTGTCTCCTAACAAACTGTGAACTTAATGTTTAATAATGGATGTTAAAAAGTACATTTTATTATATATAGCCCAAAAACATACATTTGCTTCAGGGTTTACATTTTGCTGCCCTCTGTCTTTTTTCAACACTCACTTTGGATAAGTTAAAAGCTCTCCTTTGTCAATGGGGGAAAAGCAAGAAACCCAAGGAAGAGACGATGAGGAGGGATCCCTCTCCCAGGAAGGACAAACGTGTAATGGATGTCCTGTGAGACACACGATTATCATCATCCTTTTTCAGCGGAAAACTTTTTGTCGTCCAAGTGAAATAAGAGATGGGAGACAAAAGCACAATAACTAGGAAACGGAGAGCGGCTCAGCGGAGCAGGAGTCACTCAACACCAACAATGTGCAGGACTCAATTATTTCAGGTCTTTTACAGAAGAGGTGATGGTTTTTTTTGGCAGAATAGAAATATAAAGCTATTTATAGATTTTTCCTTCACTTGATGAACTTTCTACATCTCTATAGCTAAATTAGCTGCTGTCCCAGAGCTGAAATGTACTGCTATACTTTATAACGTTGATACAAAGAGGTTACTCTGTGAGTCTGCTCTTCTCTTTCTTTTCTTTTTCTGGGGCCCTGTAAGCTTTCCCAGCATGCTTTTCTCACGCTGTAATGTCACATCTGAGTATAATGTGACTCGCTGGAAACTGGGGCCCTGAGGTCATCTTTACACTACTGTGCGGAGAGGTAAGGTGCAAACACGTCCATTTCAACACTATATACAATGTATGTGTTGCTCTACGTATGTGTGTATGTGGGAGGCAGTGTTGTGAGTATTTGGACTCACGCCAATGAGACGACACTACACTCCCATTACCACCTAACATATAATGACATTTCCCTTTTAGTTCCTTCAGTATGCATATTGTGCAGGCCTTTTATTTCCACCTACAGAACAAGATCCAGCAAAAATAATTAGTCCCCGAGTAAAACATGATCCTCTTATTAATTAAAAAAAACTTTGTATCATTTATATCATACATATTTGTGTGTGTGTGTGTGTGTGTGTGGGGATGAACTTGAGACTTTGCCATGAGACTCTCATAACATGACAATCGGTACTGGGTGGGGCATCGTCAAGAACCAACAACAACTTAGAAGGAAAGTCCCCACAGTGAGGGCCAGGTTCTTCATTTATAGTAGGTAAACGTTGGTGTGTCAGAGTGTGTGTGTGTGCGTGTGCGTGTGTGTGTGTCAATGCATACCTGTGACAGGTGTTGTCATTTTAATGCTATTATTACCATCAACATGATCGTCTTGAAATGGTGGTAATGATTATCCAGGAAACATGCAAAGCTTTACAAACAGCAAAACAAAGACTTTCATTTATCAAACCGGCTTGACACCATCAGACTGGCATCAATTATTTTAAAATGTACAGTGTATAATAATTAGTAAAAATCAAGACATAATTAAAGAGCAAAGAATCAAACCTATTTAGACATTTCAATGAAAGCTGCTGATGCTCACCAACATAGTTTAAAGATAAACTAGCTCCCACATATCACAGGTATCTTTGAACTTGAGCTTTCTTTAACTTCCCTAGACAGGTTGTAATGTGGTTGAGGTGAAACCATGATTGTTTACAGTTATTAGCAAATCTCTTGAAACACCTTAAAGTGTGAAAAGGACACAGATCCAAAACAGTTTTACCGTCAGAGTGGAAAGGTGACACAAGTGTTTGCACCAACAACTTGGGCTTTAAACCTCCAAGACTGACATGCGGGCCAAAGAGGGAAAACAGTTTGTGGCATAAACACGTGATGGATATCACCAATACCCGGTCACAATGAAAAGCAGTGTGTAACCATAACTTTGTGTTATGTTAAGATGTAAATTGTGAGTTTCTTGTCAGTTAAATTCATCTGGGAGGGACTCTACAGTAATCAAAGTATATTTAATTTTGTTATATCAGAGGAAAGCTGACCCAGTTTTCCCACTTCTAAGAAACTGGCAGTGGCTTGTGGGAAATCCCGGGACTCCTTAAAATACTTGTTTCCACTGTGCACCAAAAGATGTCACCCTTATGTTCAAACGCACTGCAATTACATCCTTCACCATGAATCAAGCAGCTGTCTTATACTGCCCCCTACTGACCAGAGTTTAAGTGTGTGAACCATAGGTGTGAACTGGGATGTGTCATCAGTTTCGTTTCGTCACACTTACAGTAATGATACTGCAAATGAAGCAAAAACAACAGCAAACAATCACATGGGCAAAGATTGACATGCTGATGTTATTATCATATCAGCATGAGAAGAGGCTCATCGCTTAAGAAATTAAGAAGTATATACATGATTAAATTTGTGCTAGGATCAAAGTTTACAATAGGTAAAAGATAAATTATACAATAACTACAAAGTAGCTCAAAATCAATCTTATAGAAACAGATGAGAAAATACATTTGGTTTAACTTATAACAGAGATAAAGGGTTTATACAATTCATACATGATGCATATACAGTCTATGGATGCAATACATGTTTCTCCCATTCATTCATTATTAACATACCAAGTAAGTAATTATATATGGTCAGTATAATAACAGGAAATTCCCTTACACGTGCAGCATTTTATTTTGGCTTGTCATAATCTGTTTTTTCATCAGACCGAGGACAAGAAGGAAAACGAAACTATGATGTTAAGTTTCGTTTCCCAGTGTAAGCTGCTGGGAGGGTATAAATACAGAGACTGTGTGCAGAGTGACATCAACAAGCTGAACGTCGTTTCATCTCCATCTACCAGAAGTGAATACAATACTTGAGCAAAATGAAGGGATCTGCAGGTAAGACAATTTCATTTTGCACACCTTTTTGGTGTTTAATATGTTAATATTGTGTTTATTATGTGCTATGCAATGTTGTTTTGTAAATTCAGTGCCATCGGTGCAAAGCCAATATTAAGTGTTCATAATACTAAATGCATTTTTGTAAAATGTCGTGTTACGTTTGGATTTATTTATTAAACAGATGGAAGAAGGGCGTGGCCCTTATTATATTTCGATAACATGCGACGTCATTAACCTTCCAGACCCTGTTATTTTTTCAGTGTTGTGACACAAAGACTTGTATTTTTCTGACTGTAACGCTTTTATTTTTTAATGCAGACTGGCTTCCTTCCTTGTGGAAAGAGACCTTTGAGGAGCTGCTGGACGACGACAATGAGCTGGACCATGGAGACCAGTGGACTCTGAACTTCAGCTATACCCAGGGAGACACACTCACCACAGAGGAGAGGAAGAGGGGCTGGAAGACTTTCTGCCACTCTGCCTTTGGAAAGTATGTATCTTTTATATTATATATATCTATAAATATACACATGTGTTACAGCAAAAGTTGAATAGCAGGTCAAATTAAAGTGATTAGAGCACCATACAAATAGCAGATAGTGTTTATATTGCACATTTCAGGTTTATTGCACAGGATTGCAATATGTTACTTTAAACTACAGTTCTATATATGCAGGTCAATTGTGATAAAAACATTGCTATACTTTAAAAACAGTTTTCTGTTATCCAACACAAATAAAGGTAAACTAAATATGCAGACAATGTCAGATGAAACCGGTCATGTGACCAGTTTTCAAACAGTTCAACATTGTGGAAAAGCCTGGTACTTCACCCTGGGTAACTGAACAAGTTCTCCTGTTTTATGGTGACTCAAAAAGCACATGATATGATTCAACCTACAAAGTTATTTTAAGACTGAACTTCCTAAATAAAAAAATTAAAAAACATTACTTGTAAGAACCTAACAATATTGGTTTTACATGTTTTATTTAAAAAGGACAATGCCCTTTAACATAGTTCCAATGTGCATTAAATGTATTGCTATTGCTTTATTTCCACATTGGTCCCTAATTGGGCTTTTACATGCACTGTGTAACTTAAATGTCGAGCTATATGTATAATTATGCCACAATACACTAACATTATGTCAATACAATAAAATAAAATAAAGATAATAATGATTACCACTGGTACTCTACAGTACAATTTGCAAACAATTGCTACAGGTCTGGTTTGCTTTTAGAGAGCAGTTAACTTTTGTTACCCCTTAAAAGCTGATGGTTCAAATACCTCAGGTGAAATCGTACTAACCCTGAGAATCTCCAACTTTCATTTATTGTCTTCTCCTTCCCCCACAGTTTGAAGTGTCCATCATGCAGTAAAGTTTGGAGTTCAGCAAAGGTCACGGTGTTGTTCCGTTACCGGCTGCGCGGTGAACGGGGGGTAGCGATCATGAGGCCCTTTGGACAGGCCTGTCGCAGTTGCCATGATGATACTTATGCCCGTCCTGGTTTTTCCGAGGACGAGGTGGAAAGAGCATTGCTCAAGCTGTGTGCCAAAATCCGGAAGAATTGCTACGGAGAAATGGATGACAACGATGTCGGAGGGGAGCCACCACACTCTAAAAATTATTCCAAACCACATGAGTCGGACCTGTGTGAGGCCTGCAGTCAGGGCATATGCCGTATAAAAGAAGAATAGAAGTGTGTGTGTGTGTGTGTGTGTGTGTGTGTGTGTGTGTGTGTGTGTGTGTGTGTGTGTGTGTGTGTGTGTGTGTGTGTGTGTGTGTGTGAGAGAGAATGAAAGTGATGCAGGAAGAAACTGATTCGTTATACCATTGTAACCATTGTTCAAGTAAATACATAAAGTTGAATTTTTTATAAAGTCTGACCGAGTTTTTTTTGTTGCCTAATACTTTAAATACAGGATCAGATCAGCCACAACTACAGCACAGAAATCGACAAACTAATCCCTTATTATACAGTTTCCTATTTCAAGGTTACTTAACATCCTTTTAATTTTGCTGACACTTTTATCCATAGCGATTCACAATAAGTGCAATCAAAAATGAGGATACCAATTCAGAACAGCAAAAATACTGTGTGTACATTACATTCAAAGGGCTAGGGCTTTTTATATAAATGCTTATTTTCAATTGTGCTTCACAGATGAGAATTGCATTTTGTTTTTTTATTAATTTAAGGGCTGACCATTTTACAAGATCAACTTTATTGATAACAATCATTCCAATACATCAACAAAAACGCACATAACATCTGTGTTCATTACATTAATTCAAAACTGATGGCATTATGAATAGAAAACAGAAAAAAACGGTGGTCCCTCGGCTGTTTTAAGGGCTTTTTTACTTTTGCACAATTTAGGGTTAGGGTTAGGGTTAACTCCAACCCTAACTATTTTGATGTATAATATCATGTCTTTCAGAAAAGTAATACATTTTTGGGACATTTTGAGAAACATCATTTTACAAGATGTTACAAAAAGTACACCAAACGAACCTAGACAACCGGCCAATCAGATGCGAGCTCTCCGTGTGACAGTTTGTCCCGCGCATGCGTAGTCCTCTTTTCTCTCTGGCATCCACAACAACACACCGAAGCGGGCCAGTCAGTCTCGCCCCTCCGCTCACAGCAGCATCGTCCCCGGTCCGGTGGCAGAGAGAGGATGGTTCAGCGGAACAGCAGCCGGGGATGCGAATGACAGTGAGAAGATAATGGCCCTCGATATACGCAGGTTCCCCAATGTGCGACTGGTGATCAAGTGAAACGACTGTGTGAGTAAATGAGATGTGATGTTGTGGTGCTGGACGTAGTTGAGGCTAACGCTAACGTGAGAGAAAGCTAGCGTCGGTAACGGCTGGAAGGTACGCTGCTTTCGGGGTGTTAACGTCTTCCCACTGCGCCTTCACAGCTGTGGGGACACGTTGACACCCTAAGGTAACGCTGTTTTATCGGCAGAATGTGGGACACCCTAACACTCGCTTTCCTCTTTCGGTAATGACATTCCCAGTCAGTGTGTTGAACAAAGGAGCTTTAACAGAGGGGCCGCATGGACAGAAACATGCAAAGAGAAGTGTGTTTGTTTTGTGCTCCATTTCATGCTGACACACTTCTTCAGGGATAACCACACGAGGTCTGACCTGGATATGTAGCTGATTGACGGTGACCTAGCTAATTTTGGTGAATGCAAAAGTAAGAATTGAGGAAACTCACTTTGCAGGTGTGACTTTACCTCCCCCTTATAAGTTTGATTTCTCTAATGACAACCTGTTTTTGTCAGTTTATACTGAGGCATAATCCACCCTTATTTTTGACTGAGGTGTCTGTTTTGATTTCTATCAGGTGGCAGCTAGTTTTGATAACAGTAAAAGCAACAGAGAGTGGGTGGGTTTTATTTCAAATAAATATGATGTTGAAACTCACAAAGTAGTTACGGTAGATTTGGTTGTTAAGGTGTTGGCAGGTAGGCCTGACTTTTTAATAATGTACTTATGTCTGTAGCTTATCAAAGCTGAGATTCATATCAGTGTAATATTGATATATGTCAGACAGTAACCCTGATAGGAATGCAATAAATAATTGTTTAGATTAGATCTGAAAGCAACAGTCATATAGTTGATTGCTGGAAAGTTACTCTCAAATGATTTGTTCTAAAAACTCAATCATAAAAGGAAATATATGCTGCTTTATGTTTCACATTGAGATTAATGTCCAAGTTTTGGACTGCTGGCTGTTTCCCACATTTTTCACATATTTGGTCGAATAAACAACTCAGCCTTTGTTCAATAGCAATAATTCTGTTTTGGAAATGATGAATACAAACAACGCTTATCCAACTAAATCTGTTTTGCTGATAAATCGATTAATTGTTTATAAAGTGTCAGATAAACAATGTCCAAGTGCACAAGGGGACGTTTTTTAATGTTTTGTTTAAACATCAGTAGAAACTGTGGATCAATATATTGACCACCCCTTTAAGCTCTTCCCCCTTGCGTGTATTTATAAAGAAGCCCAAAGACAATCTCACCAGGAAAATCCTCTTAAATTGCAATATTGCTTGTAAAACATTGTAATGTAGCTTCTTGTCTTAATGTGTGTGTAGCTGGTTGGGTTTCAGAGGAAGCATGAATGCAATGACTGTAGTTCCCATCAGCAGGAATCATAAGACAAACATTTCCCGACAACATTCATGCGTTTGGGATTCTTGAGTTCATGAGTCATTAAGTCTCCATTATCACATTACTTAAAATGGGGAATACCGTATGGACTAGAGGCCTGTTCTTTGTATATCTGTGGCACAAGTGTAACTTAAAGTTGTTGCTTTCTAAATTATTTATATACCTTTCTATGTTTCTGGATGTATTTCCAGCTAATAATATTGCCCAGGCGACAAGAAGTGAAACACTTTCTCAGCCTCACTTAAACCAACCAAAGAGTGACGTGTGGGCTCAAAGAGCTTTGGGGATAGTAGATAATTGCGCTGGCACTGCCAAGCTCAAACTTTAAGTTCCCTGGAATTCCAAAGTTCCTCCATGTCCAGACTTCCTGTCCTTATTTAGTCTGAGACACAGAAAGAGACTGCCAGAGATACACAGAGGGGTGAAGTGAACTGGAAGTAAACCAGTGTGCACAAAACAGAGAACCAAGCAGACATACTGACCTAATAACTATAGTAACCCCCCCCCACCACAAACACCCCTTTTTATATACACACACACACACACACACACACACACACACACACACACACACACACACACACACACACACACACACACACACACACACACACACATCTAAACCGGTCTACTGAATGCATCGCAGGAGCAGCACGTAAAAGATGTTGGCTTTAATTAGCCAGTGGTTGCAGCCTCTTCTCGGCCTGTTTGCCTCCGTCTGTCACCCCGTCTGTCACTGTGTGTTTTCCCTATCCCTCACTTCATAGAAATGGGAGGCAAAGGAGGGGAGGCAGCCAGCCACGTTATTCAAATGTTCCATAGCCCGACGAGCCAGCGGCCAACTGTAGCCGGGGCTAAAAGAGGCTCTTTGTGGGGGCCAGACAGATGGCCATAGAATGAAGACTGTAATGATACCCTCAACGTCCCAATACACACACACAGACTCCACTCATTACAGGATGTAACCGTGTGTGTGTTTGTGTGTTCAAGACAGAAAAAACGGTGTGTGTGTGTGAGAGAGAAAGAAAGAAAGAAACCCATAGAGAGTTTGGTAATACCATGAACGAAATAAAGAAGAACTCACTTATAAAGACAGTGAATATGTGCGAGAAAGAGTGTGTTTTGGGTTGTTGCGTGAGGACATTTAGAGAGGAAGATGATGAAAAGATTGTGATAACTTGTGAATCTACAGGAGGTTTTATGAGCTGTTGCTCCCTGGGAGAGTGAAGCTGTAGCAGCCATAGCTATGATTCTTGTGATTCTTTGCTTTAGCCCCTGAGGGGCAAAGTAAAACTGGTTTTGGCAAAGTGTATTAGTTTTGCGCGGTTTACCACACACTCTCATATCGCCAGTTGCAGACCGACAAGCGTGTAAACAACCTCCTAATGTATGCAGATTCTTCGTAAAAGCAAGCTAACTGGCCTTGCAGTGGCCAGCTGTGATAATATTGACTGCTCCTTTCATCAACTGACTTACCAATCGATGGCTTGGATATCATTAACCTTCCCCTCTTGCCTGCCCTCTTTATAATTATCTCTGTCTTTCTAGCTTCTTCCTTCTGTCCCTCTGTTTCCATCCTATTTCCGGTGAGATAACATTCTCTCTGCAGTACATCAGCTGATCGATGACTGACTGATTGTTTCAGCTGCTTTATCTCTCCCTCCCTTTCCACCTGTCTACCTACTTCTTCCCTTTCTGTCTTGTTTTTCCAGCTTTGTCCTTCTTTCACAAGTGCCTTTCCCCCCCGCTCATTTTCATTCTTTCCTCTACTCATGTGCTTCTTTCCACTCTCTTTTTCCTCTCATTAATCTAAGTGTTTCTTTATTAACAGGGCAGGAAAACACAAAACCATGTTGCTCTAAGTTGTGACCTGCGGTGAACGGCGGAGGAGGAAGGGGAGGCGCAGGCAGGCGTAAGGGCTTCTGCCACAGCTCCCTTTAGGCGGCCTTTTGCAAGCTTGAAGCCATGGGCAACACGGCCACCAAGTTCAGGAAGGCCCTGGTGGGCGGCGACGAGGCCCTGGCCTGGCAGCTTTATGAGGGCAACCCTCAGTTCAGGGACGGCCTGGACCCCAACGCTTCGTACGGAGAGCAGTACCAGCACAACACGGCCCTGCACTACGTCTGCCGCCACGCCATGACACGCCTGCTCAGGTAAAAAAAATGGAGGAGTTGATTGAATTCAACAGTCATTTTAGTCACTGTGGCTTGTGATACAGTTATCCAAACAGTCGGTTACAAACGAGGTTATGCAAGTGAGTCATAAGGGAATAACAATCAGGGGGATGTCAGCTTTAATAGATTTCACACTTTCATAATTATGTTTTTAGGGCAAGAAAGAGGACTTTTTGTACAGAAGTGACCAGTCAAATATATTGTGTATGCTTTGTAACTATGTTAATAATGTTACAAAGTTAAAAACCATGTTGACAGGCACAGAAGAAGTGCATCAGCCATAAGAAACACTGATTAACACAACCTGAATAGCACAGCCTAAAAAAGGTGCAATTACCTTGATAAGCAACAAAAAGCTGACTAATACATCTCTAAAAGTCTAAATAAAGATGCCATACAGGTATCTCTTGAAAGTATTAGAAAGTATTAAAACATTTCACAAACTTGGGATGTAGAGTTTGAAGGACTTTGCCATAAAATAATCAGAAGATGTTGACCTAAATGAAAATGCAATTGTGTTGTGCCTGTTTTTGTTTTGTTTCATTGCATACTTGTTTGTAGCAGGTGTACACAAAGAACCACACACACCAGCACACCTTGTCCTGGATACTGTTTCCTTTGTGTATTCTTACCATGAATCAGTCCAAATAGTTCAGCCCATGTCTGACACGAGCCTCCTGTCCACGAGTAGACGTAAACTCACTTCTACGAGGGGATATGTCATATTGGCACAGTGATAAGAAAATAGTTCCTACGAGAAACTGCTTAAAACAAATCTGTGCATTTTTGGAGTTTTTAGAATGTATTTTTCCCTGCGCTTTAAATGCCACAAGACGATTGCCACCTGCTGTTGTTCCATTCATTTCTAGAAAAGACAGCCATTGCTTAGGCAGATACTTTTAAACACTAAGCAACTCACAACAAACCAGTCGAGATAAATAATGATTATGAGCACTACAGGTATGAAGAAAAATAAAAAAAGATTAATTTTGGGATGAACTGTGCCTTTTTCAAAGAACCAATAATGGGGTGAAATTGGAGAAACATACAGAGTATAACACCAGCGTGTCTTTTAACCCCCCCCCGCTGGGATAATCAGGCTTCTGGCCATGACAACGACAGCTGATCCAGTGACTCAATAGCCATGCTCACCTCCTCCTCCTTGCACTCCTTTCTCTTGCCCGTTATTTTTCCATGATTACAGGGGGGTCAGAGGAAGCTGTTTGAAAAGGCCAGTCAATTATCTGTACATCTGCATGTGTGCACACGTGCATTTGTGTTTTTTTGAGGGGGGGGG